GCTGGCAATATCTTCGGTCAGCTTATCATGTTATCAGAAAATGAAATGACAATATCCTTATAATTAAGACACTAACGTACCCGCTTGGACCAGTCCCTTGGTTCTCTAGCTTCAAGCAGAATGGCTTACCAACAAAGACTGCCAAGGCAAAACTAATGCATGATCTCGAAGGCGATTTAAAAATATACAATGAACAGAGGTCAGGTAACAAAAACATGAATATACATATATCTTCAAAACACTTTCTTGTCTCCCTTATTCCTTTAAAGACGCGCGGAAAAAAGATTTTGAGATTTTACTAAAATGTGAGTGTGCAGACTTAGTGACAGATACATACAAAAACAGAATTTATCAAATCTGCAAAAAGGTCATGAAGTTGAATGAGTGATACATACCTGATAAATTGCAACAAAACCAAAGTTTTTGGTAAACTGAAAAGGTTTTGTTTGTTATAATGATAAATTAAGCAACAATTGATAAGATTTACATAAGAGGAATTGTCTAAAAGTTAAATATGCAGGGAAATTGGACGGAAGGAGAATCTTGTGCTTGTGAAGTTTGTTTGTTTGTTTGTTTGTTTGTTTGTTTGTTTCATTTTACCCCTTTTCCTAACAGTATTTCAGTCATATTGGCGGGTAGTTTCTTAACCATCGTTCCTGGAGAGTTACACCAGTACTAGACTACCTTCCTCCGTGCTAAACTACCAAAGCATCTCCGGGGATCAAACTCAGACATGCGTATTCCTCCAAAGTAAAGATGGAAAAGTAGAAGTAATACCAGATCTACATACGTCTCAGGAGGAAGCCGATACATGAATTATGTTACATATGCAACATGCGGCTAAAAATAATGACAAAGCAATAATTTTACTTTCTCCTGATACTAATGTTATGGTATTACTTCTAACGTAAGCACCACAGTCTATCAACAGTTTAATACTTTTTGACACTGGTGTGGCTTATAATAGAAGACTGTTAAAAGTGAATAAAATCATTGGTAGACTAGGAGATCTTTGGAAAGCATTGATTGGGCTACTTATTTTCACCGGATGTGATACCACAAGCCCTTTTTTATAAGGAGGGGGAATTATAACCAGTTTTCAAGAGAATGGGCAAGAGTGTTGATATTCAAGAAGAAGATTTCAAAATTCTAGAACAGTTTGTTTGCATTTAATACAGGAACGGCAAATAAAGTATCTTAAATAAGTTGCGCATTGACATTTTCAGACAAAAAGTTTAGACCAAATGCAGACATACTTACAATTACCTATGTTATTGACTTGCGTTCAATACCACTATATCTTTCCACATTAAAGATGCATTTTTTAGATCAAATTACCAAGTATTTGTGTGGTGAATTGCCTTTTGTCAATTCCCAACTATTCCAAGTCCTAATAGATATGGGTGGAATACTAGTTCAACCGCAGGTCTCACATATACATTGTACCTGGACAGAGGGAAATATACAACCACCAGAATTAATTGAAAATCATAGCTAATAAAATGCAAGTGAAGTGTTAGAAGATGATCAAAAATGAAGAAGGTGATCTAGAGGAAATTGAGATGGAAATTTATATTGATGTCATTTTCGAAGAAGATTTCGAGTAATAATTAGTATGTGACAAAAAAGCTATATTGTAAAACATTGGAAAAGTGGGGGGGGGGTAATTTATATCCTTTAATAGCATTATTATTAAACCAAATTGAACAACAAAAAGTCTATTTAACTTCTATAATATTTATACAAACAATTTTTTTTATAATTAAGTGATGATTTGCTTTTTTCAAACAAAACCACAAAGTTTATATTAAAATGTTAATAAAATAACAGGAAAATGGCGGCCATTTTGAATTTGGACGCCATTTTGAAAAGTAATAACATCAATTAATTATGAAGTAAATCATTTTATAGACCTTGTCTATGATCTAAAACAAAAACCGACCACATAACAATTCATTTGGTTAAAAAATTAATGGTTATTTCAATTAGGCTGTTTTTTAAGAAATTGTGACAGAGGCAGATAATTCACATTGGCTTGTGTCTTAATGGTAAACGTTTCAGTCAAACAACAACTTGCAAATGTCTTCCTATATGTTTATCTTTAAAACTACATGGGTCCCAAAAAATACCCAGAGGGGGTAACCTTTTCCATTTCTAGCTCATACTCTAATATGGCATATGACTTAAATCTTAACTATCTAAAGTTGTGTGCCAGATTTACATTGTAAATAAAATTCGAACATATTTAATAGGTTTTCATTGAATCAATTAATTTCAACATTTTCTGCCTTCTCAAACCACTCACATTCAACACGGAAAGTTGTTTAATGATGTTTTCCATTGATAACAACTGCTTTATGGGCAAATATGTGTACTTTTTAAAAGTCGCTGGTATCTTGGCATTTGCACCATGTTGATTGTTGCAGCGAGACTCTTAACATAAGTCCGATCCTCGCCCAATAAACCACTCTTTCTTTCAATTTATTTAATCCAGACCTCAGTCATATTAAAGTTGATTTCGAGAAAATGAATGGAAAGTTCTCATAGTTTCTTGTAAAACAAAATATACTTGCAAAATTGTTTTTTATAGTCTATTCAATACTTCATATATTCCAGAAGGCAACAATGTAATCTATTTTTTTTTTTTGGTACTTAACGTAATATGTAATAACTCAGAAGTTTTACAGCATTTAGCAGAGTGCAATATTAAAAATTAAGAAGAAATATGCTGAGTCAATCTGGCGAAAGTTCAGATGTACTTATTTCTTAATTAGTGCAGGTGTACATGTACTTATTTCTTAATAAGTTCAGATCTACTTATTTCTTAATGCGTAGCGTTATTTAGGAGCTGATTTTAATCAGATTGTATCACGGGGCGAGGGATGGAGTTCTTATGATAACTTGTCAGGAGTTCTTGTGATAACTGTCACGGAGTTCGTCTTTTCTACAAAAACACTCGTCAATAAAGGTACTTTTCATCTTTAAAAAGTGAGTTTTAGGTGCTTAATTAAACTTTGATGATTAAACTTGCCTTACATTTTGTATTATGTGTCAAAAGCTAATTCATAAGCCATTTTTTCATCGCATCTTGCTTAAAATTTGGTAGTTTTTAATAAAATTTCCAAATTAGTTGCGAATATTCGCAAGTATTGACCTGTTGATTTCTGGTTTTCATCCTTGTCATAAATAATAATAATAATAATAATAATAATAATAATAATAATAATAATAATTATTATTAGCTTAGTAGTGTGATTAACAATGCAGAAGCAGGTCGCTACACGACAAAGTATCTGAACTTTTAGTCGCCATACACTGCCGTAAATAATGAAAACATTTTGAAAAAGATATACGAATAACTAAATCTATGTTGTAGAGAAGCTAAGCCGCAAAAATTACACAGCTCAAACATGCCCAGTTTAGCAAGGGGTTATAGACATGTCAGTCAGTGTCATTATAAAAGCGAAATGTTTTCTTGATATGTTACAGTTGACAAAAATGACACTGATCAAATTTTTGTTTACTCAAGATCAATAATATTGATAAAGTGTAAAATGCGATTAGGGAATAATAAGTATAAATAAAGTGAAAGGAAAGGTTTAAAACTGAGGAAAGAGAAATACTGGGTATTCTATTCAAGAATGTAGGATAAAACCCCGCATGTCAAAACCCCACACCTCAAAATTGTAGAGTTGACAAAACACCACACATGAAAAATAATGAATGCTTAATAATCGTTTACTTGTGGGGATTCCGGTGGCACCGCTCTTCCCGCCCCCTCTCCTATGTGCAAGTGTATAGTGCATTACTACGACAACCATATATTAGAACCAGGACTGACTTTGACATGCAGTGCACTCGTTTTCTTCAAAGTTACAGCCCTTGATACAATTTAAAGCAAGCATTTTAGTAATTTTTGATAATAAACATCAAGCAAATAAATAGTTTAATTGATTTAAAAACATATTCCAGACAGCTTTCAAATGTTTTTATCGTCTACAGATCAAGTAACAACAAAATTATTAAGAATTTTAATGCGTTTAACTAGAGTTGTCGTTCTTTGCCACCAAAGTAGGCTACACAGTTGTGGTTCTTTCCAGTTGTGTTTCCACACTGTGCCAGTGTGTGAATTTGAAGCCATAATATGGAGATGGCAGAAGAGTATTTATTAAAAAAAATAATATCTCTTTTACTGTTTCTCAATGACCGTTAATTATCGTCTGCGAACAAGTAATGTTGACGAACCTATATATTGAATGACACTTTCACAGTATATCAGTTTCAAGAGTTGTATTATTACTAGTTTATTCTACCTTTTTATGAAATCTTTATTATCTCTTTAGTTAACGCCACTTTTCAGCCATTCTATATGTTAGGGCGTTAACTTGGATTGTTTTATTTAATTTGTTAAAACAATTAACATTTTCTTATCAAAAGGATCATGTATTGTTCAGTATACCAGACGAACGTCTGAGTAAAAGTTATAGATTATATACATGTATAGTGAATTCGTTTTTGTCTCAAACGAAATTTCGTGTGTCGTCTGCTAATATTTTATGAACGCGTCGAAAGAAAACAACTGAACAAAAACAATAAAAAGTCTTGTAAACAAGCAAAAACAGGACTAACAAAATAAAACAATGTGAAACAAAATGATAAAACTATAGATAAATATTCCTTGTCCTTTTAAGATTTTACAATGCATGTACATGTATAATGTACATTGACGCGTACTGCTATTTTTATAGAAAAAAAGGTGTTAAGTGTTAAGATAGTATCTCAAATGGAAAAATTAATTGTTCTTAATGTCTCAAAAAAGCTGAAAATAGAATAGAAAGAGACATATGAATGAAGTTTTATTATATTGAGATATATTTAGAACAAGTTCGCTTGTATGTGTTTAAAGATAGCATATGATAAATACGCGCATACCTTTATTACGTTAGAAGTATAAATATACATTATAATATACATAGTGCACTGTTAAGCACGAGCCGAAGTTACACTTCAAACGCTCTCGTGATTACGATAGAAGAGTCGCGTTTACTTTAAGCATTTATTTGAATGATTAAATTGATAGCTTAACGGACATGGATATTTGTATCAATTTCATTTAAGTAAATATTTAATGAGCAATAGATTGGTGGAAAATCTCTTCTGATTACTTTGGTTTTAATGATGTAGGTTATAGGTCGGATTTCTTACAATATAACACAAGACTTGTCAAATTCTTTCGTTATAGTAAATGTATTTGAGTGTAAAGTGTATGTTTTGATATCGTTTAATACCGGTAAATTGGCTACGGTTATGACTGTGTTTTCATTTTAAATAGAAAATCCTTAAATAAGATTACATGACTTGAGCGTATTTGTTACCTTTTACAACCATTAAAACGGAGTTCTTATTTAAGAGGGAAATAAATAAGCGACAAGATAGGGTATGAAACCGCGACATATTGTAAGTGAATGGAATATACCTTTAAAAGAATGTCTGACTGTGCATATTTAACTTACCTGGGGTGTGGTGGTGAGATATGGAAAAGTGATTATAGTTTATCAGTTTGATTCCTGTGAGGATTTTACCATGTATTTTGCGCTTGTGTCTGCAAGTTCCACAGATAATGTGGACCCTGGGGTATCGGATAAAGATTCTAGTAAGGGAGCAGAAAGGGGGCAGAGGAATTCGAGTAATTCAAGCATTAACAAACCCAGGGACAGGCTGTCGACAGAGGTATGTTGTAACTTGAAAACATATCACCCGAATGTTTATCTTAACTTTAAAGGCTTAGTAAGCATGTCAAAAACCCGCTGTCTATAACATTTCATCAATTTCACATGTGTTTTGTATTTTGACGTGAGCACTAAAGCGCTTCACTCAGAATCAAATAACTTATAAATCACCAGCTTGAAAACCTACCTGTCATGTATTACATGTGACCAGTGGTAACCTAGAGCCATACCAATCAAACCAACAGGGGGCTCAGACTCAGGACTTACTTAGATGCCGATTACCTATTGTATCCTGTCTAGTGCTTAATTTGGGTCCTACTCAATGACAATCAGTCCGGGAGTTGAAAAAGACATTTTAAACTTCTGGATAATTACGTTCTGTTCTTCCTTTACAAAACGATTGAAATCAGGACCTATGGTTGAAATTGGGTGGAATCATTTCTATACTTACAGAGCTGTAATTCCAAATTACCATTGACGTTCCTGTTTATAATCAACAATAAACAATAAGATATTATTTATTACAGAATTTTATTGACAGCTATACAATATGAAGTGTTGCTAAAGTACCATTCATAAGAAACCCGTTACAAGAATTCCTTCAGGTTTATATACGTATACATACCGAAATCTCCCGGTTTATACAACTTCGTTTTGGTACAGTGTTGAGGAAATAACTGAAACATCTTTTTTACATCTGCCTGTCGTTGAATGCAATATATTACTGTGACTGTAGCATGGCTTAAACCAACAACCAATGAACTGAAAAATAAGGCATATCTGCCGCTCACCGCTTTGCGATTTTTATCTCCTTTTTTTATTTGTTTGTTTTATTTTTGTTTTACGGGTTTTTTTGAGTTTTTTTTTATTCTATTGCTTTTTCTATTGTATAACAAACCATTTAATAGCTACATGTCCGCGTTCATCATCCACTTGTTACTTGTTGACGTTGAAATAGTTGACACTTGCGGTCTTGTTACATTTGCTTTATATATATGCCAATTGGCTAATATGCTGACAATGCGATGTTGAATGTGCAGGTACAAATAAAAGTTGTCTTATTATGTGATATTTTGGCAGTTGAAGCACCGGTAAAATTTCATTTACATCACGTTAATGCAGGCATGCATGCACGCCAGACTGTAATTGTGTAGTATACTTGGATGGCAGTCAAGAAGTCAGATTTATTTGTCAATTATAGTATACAATACATGGAAAATATCAAACGTTTACAACCACTAAAAGATATAAAAGTTAATCTGATAATCCTAATCTATTTTATGTGGTAAAATTAACTAATTTTCCATTGCTAATTACATAATGTCAATAGTGGAAAAATAAAATTATGTATTCGACTTTCGATTACGACACCGTTTATGTCTGTATTGCGCAAAATACAATAGCTTTTCAAAATATGGCACGTGAAAGCCTGTTGTATTTCTGATCAACTCGGGTCAACACGAGTCACATCTGAGATTTCAACCCTCTATCTAAAGCTAGCAATGGCCACTCTATGTTTTAGATATTATCATCTATTGTCATAACAGATGACGTTTTGACTATACCTAATTTGTACCTATTTCTAGCTTCTTCCTTTTTTAGATCAAAGCCCTTGCCATTAATTTACTGTGTTAACTATGAAGCCCGCAAAACTTAGTTTGATTGAAAATAAAGATTTGAGTCTAATTCGTAGCGCCCGGTTGCGTGGTCTGACATGTCACCACTGGACATTCAGTGCCCGCTTTATACTCGAGAGTTTAATTAGCATGTCGTATAATATGTCAGGTTTAAAATTAAACCCAAGTTTTCTAATTATCCGCACGCCACTTGCGGTTAGTTTTATTGAAAAATTCGTGTGAAGTAATCATTTCCTTCAAGAAAAGAACTGTGAAATCTTCAACAAAAAAGACAGACATTTCATTCATATAAAAATTCTTCATACATAGCGACATGACAGATACGGTTTAGACCAATTACAGAGGTACATTACAACACATAAAAACTGAATTAAAAAAGAATGAATTGGTAATAAAAACGGATATACATTTTTAGCTAAAAAAAGAATGTTAATATTTGTCTGGATGTACGATGTCAAAAGATATTACGTTTAAAATCTTTGTGGTGAAAAATGTAATTTTGATTATTAAAGACCTAAAGGGTTATGTTCAAGTTTAATTTAATCGGGAATTAAGTATATCACTTTAAGTTGTTCCATTCAAACGCTGTGTACCATGGTCTAAATGAAAATGAGATAAGCAAGTATGCAAAATAAATGTTTTCAAAAAGATTTTCTTAAAGACAGACGCGCAAGGTCAAGCGGTCTACGACCCAACAACAATATTATGGTCTGAAAATGTTAATTCTAAAATGTAAGGACAAATCTTACTCTAGCAAGGACGAAGTTTTAAAAAGTGGGGAAAAGTTAAAAAAATATATACATTATTGAACTTAAACACTCATCGAGTTCATTTCAAATAAATTAAGATTTTTTGATAGTTTCTGACATGAAATTTTCCTGGTTAACATACAAATGTTTTTGCACAATAATTGTTCATGTGTATTAATTTTGTGTACAATTCAATAATTTGATGTCTTCTCATTAATTATTTGATGAAGTTCAAACATGCAGCCGAAAGTGTTTCCAAGTTGAATGTATCACTTTGCGTTTGGTGCCTTTAATAGGGAAATACTAATATCAATGATCATAAAAATTGAACTTGAGGGAAACAGTTTGAACTCAGTTCCTCAAAACAATTTCAGCTTTGTGACAATTGTCATTGAAATATTTAATTAAAGCAACACGCCTCCAGATTCATGTTAATTTTCATGACGTAATGTATAGAATGAATTTATACAATTGTAGATGAATAAAAAAGATGATCCAGAAGTTCCCCCTCCCCTTAGTTTGGTATGTCTACAAAGCAAGCTGCTATTACCAAGAAAATTTCTTGGAATACGAATAAATCTTGTTTTAATTCGACCATGTAACTTTGTATTATAATAATGCTTAAGTCACTTTTCGCGTTTGTCGGTGCATATATGCCTTTAAGACTTTTATATGCTAAGTGAAGCACTTTTAAGTACGAGACTATTTGCATTTTGTGGTGTTAAGACGAATAGATTACAATACGTCATTAACATCTTTACCACATTAACATCAGATTTATAGACCTTAAATGAGTCGCGTCACGACAAAACCAACATAATGGGTTTGCGACCAGCATGGATCCAGACCAGCCTGCGCATCCGCGCAGTCTGATCAGGATACATGCTGTTCGCTTTATAATAGAGTTGGGTAAGCGAACAGCACGGATCCTGATCAGACTGCGCGGATGTGCAGGCTGGTCTGGATCCATGCTGGTCGCAAACCCATTATGTTGGTTTTGTCATGACGCGGCTCAAATGTCGTAACAGTACACTCTGTACTTCCGCAATAACCCACTAATCAGGATACTTAAGGAAAGCGTTGCCGAATAATTATTAAATTATGAACAAAAAAACTGGTGAAAAGTAAGAAAATTGAGACGTAATCTATGCAACAGCTGACGAAAATCGCTCATATTCTTTATCACTTTAAAAGGCAGACAGAAAAAAAATGGAACAATGTAATTTATTTTTGGTCTACCTCTTCATTGTATTCAAATAACTTAATCATACATTTCACCGAAACAATTTATAGGTTACAGTTACTTGTCCTTGCCCATCCTAGATAGTTAAGATTAAACATGTGTACCACTCAAGCATTACAAAACTATCCGACTAAAATTATCATTGCAAAAAAGGAAGTAATTTTTGCTGATTTAAAACTATTGCAGGTAACATGTCTGCATAAACGAACGAAATGTTTTGTCCCTCAGTCCCTCACTAAATTTTTGTAATAGCATTGTGTAACGCTAAGGAAAAAATGATGATATGTTATTTGCCTGTTAAAAAAAAAGAATTAGAAAAAAATGGGAATGCCTGACAAAAAATGTTTAATGTTGCATTCTTCCTTTGGTATAATTTGTTAAGCACGTGCCTTGTGTGTTATTCTGACAAGAAAAATGTTGTTTTATTTCTAGATTCCGCTAGATTGTAAATTAGAAGAAGATGGTCCTGAAGTGTTTGCATCACTGAAAGATGCCGACCAAAATCTTGTAAATGAAGGTAAAGTTTATTATCTACATTATCATATATAATCTTTTAACCCTTAAAGGGTTGGTTATGCCTCAGTTTTCATTCTTTAGAAAGGGCAAACATGAGTAGCATGATACTGAATGTGAAATTATTTGTTATAAATGTAGCAAATTGTAAACAAATTAGTTATTTTGACTAATACTAAATAAGTTAGTAAATCACTATAATTGCAATAATTGCCAAAAGGCAACAAGAGCAAAATACGAGTATGGTTCTGGAAAATGGTCAATGGAAATGTAATATAACAAAATGCTTTTAAAAAATAAAAAAAAGCATAACATGGGGGTATAATGTCCTTTTAAACTGCTGGAACCGACAAACACATATTTGTCACTAGTATATAGAACTTGACCAGCCTGCACATCTGTGAAGATGGTAGCTCAATCTTTTAGTTTTATATTGAAATCCTTTAAACTTTTAATCATTAATTTGTTCCAAAGTCAAAGCAAGGCGAATCCCGTACACAAATTCAACAGGTTAAAGGTTGAATGCCTGCGAGGATAGTGACATGAGTATGCCCCTCCCCCAACACACTTTAGTAGGAGACAGACTAACCTGCATACCAGTGCTCATCAAACTCTATACTATTGGATGCATAATCTTAACAGTCTTATAATTCAAACCATTTAAAATAACAAAAGTTCGGTCCAAATTCAACCCAGTGCACTTCCACTTTACGTTTATCCTATGTAATGGACTGGGTGTTAAGGTAGGGGCAAACACGATACATGCGTTTACAAGAACATAAACAATGGTTTGCAGAAAATGTAATGAAATTGCTCACTAAACATTGGACTTTACTCTAGTTTTAAGGTTTTCTATCTTTATTTTTCTTTTCCAGACGTTGACATTATTACAGACTCCGGTCCAGGGCCAGACAGTACCGAAAATGAAGGTACGTGTACAACATTTAAGCTTGGGAGACCTCTTTCTCGATTTAATTGACCGTTGGTGTATTATATACATGTATCTATAATAATCAAAAGGTCAAGGTCTCGGTAAAATAATGGTATACTATATTATATTCATTGGGGATATTACGTTTAAAAAATAATTATTCTATAGCGGCAGTTATTAACAAAGAAAGATAAATCCAACATGACAGAACACTATTAATATTGCATTTATCTCCCTTTGGTAGTACCGGATGACACCATAATGATTGTATTTGAAAGCAACGGCATTTTTTTCCATATGAATAAAGTTTTGTAAGGTTTAGTTTTCGCACAATAACATATAACGGCCTAATTCAGACCTATGTGTTAGACAACGGTGGCCTCGATCATAAATGTATTAAAAACAATGGAACGTTATGTTTTGACTGATTCAGATTGTTTTAATAGTGTCTAATATGCTTGATAATGTTGACCATTGCTTCTGCTAGCATCATGAGCAGCGATTTGAAAGCATACCGGCAAATAAAGGGAAAAGGATAAAAAAAGGCCGGAAAGTTGCGATTGTCCCCAGATTGACAAAGTTTTTAAAGGGGGAACGATAAAAACAATCTTTGCTGAACATAAATGGTTCGACCATTGCTGTATTTATTTTTGTCAATATCTAGTATTCGCAACATGTTTAGCGTTTTCAAACAATAAAAGGATTTTATTAGCTCTAAAATTTTCGATTGCTAATGAATATTTAATACTGCATGTTTATCAAAGTGATTATACTCACAGTTTATTACCATACGGAATACTTTATCACCATTGTTCCGACTAATCAAAGCATTTATTGCTTAGTCATTATAAATTTTGGGGGCACGAGCAAGTTCTAAAATCTACGGTACATGCATGCTTCCGTTGAATATCTACGTAAAAAAACGGCATAAAATGCCGCCACGCCATTAGGATATTTTTGGAAAAGTTACAATCTAATCATTGATTAAATTCTTTATCCTCACTACTTAATAAAGGTGTAGATTTGAAAATGTCTCTTGGTCTTTATTTCACGATCAAAATATTAAAATTCCGGGAAAAGGGTGATCCCTCTTAACAAAAGTACATGAAAATTTCGGTTAGATTGTTAGTCTGTACATGAGGAGTTATGAAAAAGTGCAATATCCCTCACCTATTTATCACCTGCTAAAGGTGATGCGCCAGGTTTAGAGGCGGCATGGTCTTGCATGAAACAGTAGTCCGTACTAAATCAATCTATAATACATTTGTGAAACATTTTACTTAATTAAGATAGTTTTCCACACTGACCACGTTTAAGGGTGGACAACAAACATTTTTTTCTTTCTAGTGTCCTCTTTACTTTTCTTTTATCTTCATTCAATCAATGTTTAAAAGCAATAACAAGCAAGCGTGATATTTGACGAAGGATTGACCAAAGACGGACGCCTACACAAACATCGTATTATAACAATAGTTGGACAAAACAATTTTGATAAATAAAAGTCAGAAAAACCGGACCCAATCAACATTAAGCTGAAATAACACATTTACATATCATGTTAACTCCTATGAATCATTTTTATTTTTTTTACAATACCGCACTCTACAAAAACTAGTGTCTTTAGTTCACTAGTGTATGTTTCATTCAGTATTTATTTACCGATGTTTTTATTTGTCCCAGGCAGGGTGTAATACGGTCAGGGTTGGTTATCTAAAATCTTCGATAATATTACCAGTGGACAAAATGAAGGCATGTGGATTTTACGTTCAAATAGCGATTTGTGGCCGATAAGGTTCTCTGTTTATTGCGACACTGCGGGGTTAGGCCGTCATTTTAAAATTCTCGCGCAATAAAAGTTTATAAAATCAAGTGGTATGCACAAGTAGGATTACACAATCTAGTTTGGACATCGCTGAGAGAAAATGCTTGAATACAAGAGATTGTGAACATTTTCCAAACTTCCGAATTCATATGTTCAAGTGATCAAGTTGGATTATTCTGTCAAATTTGATGTCAATATAAAATATATATATATTTCTTTAAACAAGTGTGTGGATTTAAAAGTGCCTTATAGGAATAGTTCTTTAAAATGCGTCCAGGTAACACATTGTATATTTAGATGATGTTTTTATATTATTTAAAAAAAAAACCACTATATATAATATTTAAAACATTTTGAATTATTTAAAAAAAATGTATTGAAAACCCCTTTCTTTCAAAAATAATTCCCCATATTTAATTTAAATTTTGTAATAGTAATATTTTATTTGTAAACGCCAGTCCTTTGCATTTTATAATAAGACATTTAAAAAAGTTAATTGTTTGTTGGGGGAAAAGGAGATAGGCCTTAATATAGTCTCAACATTTCGACTGCAAGATCGACCGATTTTACAAACTGATATTACATATACGTAGACGTCGGACCGTCGTCTGTATTATAAAACCTTGTTAGGCCAGCCTAAATATTAAAGGACATTCATGAAATCAAATGTTCTGATGTAGATTTTCGTCAAAAATCGAATTCTAGTCCACTTCTTGACAGTTGAACACCTTGGGGTACAAGATAACTTTATTCTATGGATTAAGATAAAATTCACAACTTTTCAACAATTGATCAATGTGTACTCGATATTTTGTAAAGCTTACTGGAATGCCAGAACTGGCTTCCGTATATAATACTTAAATGGCTTTCATTAATGGGCCTTTAACCCTTCTTGTTAAGTTCGGTACTCCTAACTCGGTAAGAAAGTAAAATATAGATAGAAAAAATGCTGATCTTATAGATTGAAGGAAAGGGTGAAAATGCGATTGAAATTAAAGTTTGTGCGATTTTGCAATACAGAGGGGATGAGTAAGTGACTTTGTAAACAGTTACCAATTCATTTATTTTTGTGTCTATTAGCACGTGACTGATAGCTAAAGTTAAAGATTACCCTTTCTCTTTCTATTTATACCTCTTTTTATCTAAAAAAAATTCACAACAAAACGGTACAAACAAGAACACCAAAATAATGTGATACATGTCTATAAGCCTCTTGCATGTATATAACGAAAGATGACGACATGATTATTACAACAACAACAACGATGTCGAAGAGGACGACGATGATGGTGATGATGATGTTGACAATGCATACGTTGAATATATAATGATTTTTATTACGATAAGAAATATTGGTATAAAAGTAGGGACATTCTTGCTGTCACCTAGGACTTTATTGAAAGTCCACGCTAATTGTCAGATTTAAATAAAGAAACAAATGGATATGCCAACAGTAATTGTTTATTAGAACTTTGTGCGCGAAAATACGTAAAACAAGTGCATGAAGTACATCGATTACATAACCACAATTTAAGAGATTGCCGAAAATCATATAGCGGGGTTTGGATAGAACGTTCTTTGGGGGGGAATGTGAATAATAATGAGTTACTTCCCCTTTATAAATATATGCCATTTGCATCTTTACTCTGCCAACACAAAACAATTTTATGAAAACTGTAGAAGACAGCTAGAGAAGTACATAATAAAATATTTTCTTTGAAACACAATTTTTTAAATTGAATACTGTATAAATTCCGTGATAGTTAGAAAGATACTAAGTTAAAATAAAAGTGGCAAAACCCCATTTTGTGAATTTCATTTTTTTTGTCATCTCTCGATTCCACATTATTGCAAACTGTCAGAAACGCCAGTGCCATTTTGTACCATTTTGTACATCCGCCTGTGTCATCTTCGTCAAAGAATGCTTATTATATACATTGTATTTAATCAACATTTTATTATATTTTCAGACCTGATGCTGTAGCCTTGATGTTCCCAATAATTAATTTTTATTTAGAAGACTTCATATCATTATATGGAATTTAAGATCTATTAAAGTATTATTATAGATTTATTTTTATTTTCAGGACGAAAACATCATGGTAGTTCAGGGAGCTCGAGAGAAGCGCGAAAATCATCATCAAGTTCTGCTGTAAGTTATAGTGTTATATCTTTTCTTGCTGTAACTATATGACAGTGCAAAAATCTGTTATGATCATATATATCAATATATTAATACAGTGCCACAGTCTGCACAAATGACATTTAGTATTACTTTCGAAATAGATAGCTGTTCCTATTAAGTTTAAAACTTCAAAAACTTTGTTCATATTTTTTTCACCATATTTCATTTCTTGAATTCAGACTCAAAGCATTGGTTTTATAATATTACTATAACTTGAACTGTTCATTTATTTGATTCACCGTATATTCACTGTATATTCATGTACATTTTAAAGAATCATAATTTTCAACTCTAAGTTTACGATAGATATTGATCTTTTTGTACTATAAATACTCTGCGTATTCATGCAACAAAAAGATACAACAAACTCTAAACAATGTTAATTGTGCCTTTAATATTTCAAATTTCTTCATAATCTTTGTCTCCATTGTGTTTGCAATGTATTTTACAAATGTTTATCATAATTTGTTATTAGAACTAACAAGTAAATTACTGATATCTTTATTATGTATACAAATAACTTGAAACTCTTCCAAAAGTTTTTTATTTGGTAGAGGTTACTTTATAAAGTTACATTGAAATACTAAACAATGATGTGCTGTACTTTATTTTGTGGCTTAAAGGCCGTATGTTGACTGATACATGTATCTGACATTCCGGAGTGTGGGTATTAACTATTAATTCAGCTTGCCGCGATTAAACTATTAATACAAATCCTATTCAGGTTTTATGCCAATTCGAACACACAAGAGCAATGTAGGACATAAATTGAAAAGAAACAGTTTACAATAGTTTGTAAGTCTTTGAATTTAAAATGAATATTGTTTGGATCATTGAAAGAAGATATTGCGAGCAGATATAATCTTAGCGTGGCTGTATATTTCGTTATTGTATACTATGAATTAGGCAAATTATTCGATATAAATACATTAATAATCTTTGAGTTACTTTTCCCATGAACGTTGATGGGAATGTTACCTAGATATCTCGATAGATTTATGCGTATCAATTGAAATACGCAAAAGCTTTTAAACTTTCACTCAACTGATACCGAAATTGTAAAATGTTTACAATTATTTCTCAATATATAACATTTTGATAACGTTATTACCTTTGAACTTTTGACCGATATCTTGATAAAATTTTGTCGTAAGCAACGTTATTACTTTTTTTTACTCAATAAGGATTTGCTAGGTTATATGAATGTTTAGTTTGGCTTTAAACCTTTTAATCTTCTACAATCCAAATTTTGGCGCGTGCCATTTGCGGTTTACCAGGATATTTGTTATTTGCACTTTTATTCATTAGATTTTACAGGGATTTATATTTCATAACAAATAATAGTAAAATATACAAAGATTTTTATCTTACTTGAAAATGGCATTATGGAATACAAGAGCCTCTCTTATGGTACTTTTAGTATAGCATGAAATACATGATTTAAAGGAGTCTTAAGTTTTGAGCATGTTTATTTTTGTCTAGTTCAGTCAGATTATTGTTGAGAGTTTGGTAATTAACTACAGTATATCAGTCAATAAAGATCTTAAGAAAGCTAAACAACTACAAAAATTTGTGATTATTAATAATAAAACAAAACCTTGTAAAAATCTTTTATTTTGTTACAAATTAAAATCTAAAAAAATAGATTTTTTTTTACAATAGTTCATAGATATTTGTTGTTCGGCAATTAACGTATAAATATTTGGTATCTCGATAGATTGTAATCATTATTACACAAAGACACAGGTGTTTTCGGTGTATGCAGTAAATTACATTCGCAATCAGCATGTTGTTTAAACGTGACAAATTGCTTGAATGGTCACTTACCAGTTAAATTTAATGACTTAATTAAAAATTCTGATGTTTAAATGGATCATTACTTTCATTTGACATAGATTTTATGATCAGCCTTTATCAGCATTTATTGTAATAAAATCGGCAAAATATTTCGGTGTTTGACCATCAAAATCGTTATTATAGGCTCTTCACTGCACAACCAAATTCCAACGTTTCAAAGCTATCTTCCGTTAAAATCTTGTTTGCTATTAAAAAAATCTCAGGTGAGTCATTCATGTAAGCGTCAAAGCTTTTTTTATTCGCTTCCCTGGATCTTAGTGACGAATATCGATGATAGGCAAGATTGGGACGTCTCAGGTACAATACAAAATAATGACATTTGCAGAAAAGCTTTTATTATGTCATGATTAGTGATTAAAATATATCAAAAGATATATGGGCTCATACAAGCGCCAAAGTGTAGATGATTATTTGCTTTAAGAAATATAAATATTTGAAGGACTTGCTTTTTGAATAGAATTGGATTATAAACCCAATTATTTTTATTTGATAAAAGGGTGATGATGGAAAATTAGGAAAACTAGAAAAAAAATGGAAATTTTGAATTACTTTTGAAAAGCCTAAAGGTATTTCTAATTTATTTTACATATTTTCTTACTGTTAGAATGACTTGTTGTTGAAAGTTTGAAAGAAAAGTAATTTCTGGTTTTTTAGTAAGTGTAAATTTTTTATTGTATGATAAAACTGCTTTGTGTTTGCGATGTTGAATTTATTAAAACTAGGGCATTATAAAAATGTTTTCTGTAAAATTACACAGGATTTCAATGGTTTCTTAAAAGTGATTTAGCTGGGATAATATTTAATTGGTTTCTAAAAGTGTTTAATGCTATCTGTATATATTTGCTGTTTGTGGATTATAAAATTATTGTTTATAATATGATTAAAATGATTACAGAATACCTAGAATTAAAGAACTTTGTATTTTATTGAAATGAGTGGGGCTTGCATGAAATCATGGTCAGACGTGCAGAATATTTTGGTCAGGAACATTTTAACAAAATTCATGTATATTAAGTTATATAGACATTCTATGTAATAAATTTTCAAGAAACCACCATGTTATGAACACTGTTTTCTTTTTAAATTTAGATTTGCCCTTGTCTGTCTGTCTGTCTGTCTGTCCGTGTGTCTGTCTGTTCTCATCATATAGGAGTCATGTTGTGTTGCATGTACCTCTAAAAGTGCTTGAGTTAGAGTCAACAAACTCAATACAAGTCTTGATCAGCATGTGAAGTTGTGCACTTAGCGTTTTGTGTGTGGATTATTCTAGTTTTATAAAAGTTAAACACATTTAAATTATCAAACAAATTTTTCACTTAGAATTCTGGACATTATTTAGATTCACAACTTAAAAAATGTAGTACATGTAGCTTAAAATGTCATAGAAGTTAAAAACATGACAGTAACACACCTCATTACCTGTAGATATATTTTGGTCAATGTTCTTCAAACTTCTGGTTTGACAGATAAGCCAAAAGTTTAACATTTATTTGGATTGACAGAACATTATCTTTAAAAGGAATGTCTATTTGATGTTTGTCAAGACTTAAAAGGAATTCACAAAAAATAACTTGTGTACCACATTTGTTCTTATAAATGTACAGGTTTTGTTTCTCACACTGACCAGATTCTTTCAACTCCCAATTCTCAAACTTTACATCCCCAAAATTGACGATAGGCAATTCCAAAAATGGAAGTGGGGAAATTTCAGAGTTTAACATAAAATAATTTGTGGAAGGGGTAAACCACTGGCATAAGGTATTAAAAAAAAAAGAAATATAAGTAAAGGCTTGGAAAATCCCCCCCCCCCCAAACAATTCAGGTATAGAGTGGATTTAGGCAATTTTAAAATTCTGGTCAAATACTATCTACCATGCTGCTTTAGTGAGGTCAGAATAAGTGTGAAGAAACTTTTTACGGTATTTAACTGGGTTTTATATGGTAGTGGCAGAGTCGTGACCACATCAAAGTATCGTCACTTAAATTAAATGCTAAACTGTCAAGCTTCGGTAACAAGAGTAACAGGTTACTCAAATACATTGATTTAGTAGGTAAACATTTTAGTCAACAATTTCACTACCGCCTTTTGTACAAACGCAGGTAAACTATTTCCCAGGGTTGAAAAGATGTTATTTGGTTGAAAAGTTCACCTTGTTGACATCTTGACGAAAAATTGATGCTTCGATAATTTGAGAAGTGGGTAAAATTTGTTATTGCAATGAGATAAAAATTTGTGTGTAGCTCTGCATACATGTATAATTGGTTCTCTTTAATGAAGGTTTTAACTTTGAAATATTTGAGATTAAATTCAAAATTTAATATTTTCAGCATTCAGGAAGATATTGTGTCATTTGATAAATTCATAACAAAGTGACTGTTTATTTTCCATGAAATCCTTTTAGTTGGAAGAAACAGTTTGTTTGCTTATTTGTTTTAATTGGTCCTAATATAAGTTTTTACATTATTTTAGTATTTAATACTTATAGACAGGTACCCTGAAAAGTGTTTGTATTAAGTATTTGTAATTTGTTTGCCTCAAGAAATTGCAAAATTCTTCAGATAATTGTGATATATCACTTTAATCATTGATAACTGACAAATGCCATTGAAGCAATAAGGTAATTGTGTTTCAATCTATCTCTGAGTAATGAAATCTGTAATAACTTGTTAAATAATTCTGTGATTGGTCTTATATATGGACCTAGACTTATTGCTGCCCTTACTCTACTATGATGTTCTTGTATGTGGAAAAGTTGTTACTTGCCCGCCAACTTGGCCCAGATATTCTTAGTATGCTGGGATAAACAGGCTACTACTTAGCTTTAAGGTGCAGATCTTATGAAATGGTTGAAATATTGTTCAACTCACAACCCTTTAAGATTCCAAGTAAAGATTATTTTCTAAACATGTTGTTTATATAAACAGTACTGATATTTGTTGTTTTATATCATGGCTTATCCATGACCACTGTACAATGTTGTAGCATTTCTCATAGAGTTTATCTGGTTTATTGTAATTGAGGCTGACAAGTAACTGACCCTGGTTGACCTGTATGGCGGCTAACTGATTAATACAATAGGCTTATCCCTTAATTCCTCTGATAAACCAGT